TGAGGTCCACAAAGTGTTAAAACTCATGTCCATTTATTTTGTCACTTTGTTAATTATTTAGTTTGATTCATGTAGTGCTTTACTGCTTTATGTGTTAATTGGATCACAGAACTTTTCCATTTTAAAGCATTGGAAAATGTTTTCCCATTTTCCATCATCAACCTGTTTTATATCAAAGCAACCTCAAGATTTCAACTTCTCGTGACTTCATCTTGATTTCAAAAAAGTAAAATGTTTTTTTTCTTTTCCAATTACCTGTTGTTTAAAAATGAACATCCTTTTCGGAAATCCTTTTCCAATTACAGGAAAAAAAATTACTAAGAGAACCCATTTGGAGATAGAGAATTACCAGATCTGTGGGAGAAACCGAGAAAGGAGGAATTTTGATTGAAGAAAATTTGAGGCTTCGGCTATAAAGGGGCAGAAGCAGAACAGTTCTTGAGCAGAGCTTGACTCTTGAGGAACTTCAGATTCTGAACTGAAGCAGAAGCGGCTCGCCGGCGCCTGAACTGAACGGATGAACCGATGAAGTCGTGACTCGTGAAGAGGAAATAATAGGGTAGGGGAAAATCTTGAGGAACTTCAGATTAGGAAGGCAGAAGCAGCGCATGAAAATGGAAATAATAAGTTAGGGTAAAGGAAGGGTTATTACTTATTTATATAGAATAAGGGTATAGTTGTCTTTTTAGTTTATCTTATCGGTTTATCGATAAACCGATAACCGAAGTGGACAAAATCGAAATCGAAATCGATAACTCGATAAGAAAATTTTCGAAATCGAAATCGAAATCGATAAACCGATAAACCGATATCGATAAACCGATAACAAATAATCGATTCGATTTATCGATAAACCGATTCGAATGCACACCCCTACATCCTGGACAATCTTTAACGGAGATAACAGTTCAACCCTATCTAATTTTTATTCTTTGATTTTTTTTAATTATATATGCAAGGGGAAGGGGAAGGGGAAGGGAAAATTGGGTAAGAAAATTATAAGGTGGTAAATCGAATTTCCACCAACTAAGTGAAAGTTCACATAACCAACTTTATCTAATTAATATTTTTGGCACAAAAAAATTAAAAATTCTAAAACTCAGATGAAGATTAGAAAAAAAGTGGAATCAATTAATAGGACTGATTCAATAGATGATGAAGATGAAGGTAAGCTCGTATCCACGTGGAGAATAGTTTAGTAGTCTATTGTCCAACTAGGGGTGTTCACGGTTCGGTTTGATCGGTTTTTAATTAAAACCAAAACCAAACCAATTTAATCGATTTTTAAAAGTTTAAAATCAAAACCAAACCAAATTAAATACAAACCATCGGTTTGGTTGTCATTGGTTTGGTTTTTCGGTTCGTAGTAAGCTAATAATAAGTCGATAATAGTAAAACAACACTAGACAATAATCTGAAAATAATTTGCTAAATTTATACTTTTATATATTTCTTTCGGAACTGAAAGTTTATTTACCTCTTTATATGAAAAGAATGAACAAAAAAATAACTAAAAGTTTGTTTTCTCAAGCTTTAGCCACTGTAGTCCTGCAATTTGAGTTTGCTTTCTTTACTCTAATGGTATGATTTTTTTAACTCTTATGTTAGGAAAAAGTATGTGCGGAGGGTTAGAGAATTAAAGTCTTTTAAGGAAAAGAAAATTGGCTGATTCCTATTATTTTGGGCTTAGGCAATCTTTTAAGATATAAGCTTGATAAACCAAAATTCAAAATAACAATTAAATTGTATAAAATGTTTAAAATTATTTTAAAAAAGATATTATATTGTATATAATTAATCGGTTTGGTTCGATTTAATTTTCGATTTTTTATAATAGAACCAATACCAAACCAAATATTATCGGTTTTTAAAATTTAAAACCAAAATCAATCCAAATCAAAAAAATTATCGATTTACTTAATTAGTTTAGTTTGGTTTTCGGTTTGGATCGGTTTTCCGTCAAATCGTGAACAACCCTGTGTCCAACCATTAGTTTATTGTCTATCATAGTAGTTTTTGTATTTTAACTATTTGATATTTGTAGCTTATTGGTATGATAAGTTTGAATTTTTACGAATCGATCTAATAAAAGACTAATAAAGTGCATTATAATGGCAAAGTGGCTCAAATTGGCAAATTTGTTTACCTTAGATGGGGTTCTTTTAGTTCAAAGTGCACTAACTTCAACTTGAGAAGGTCTTTGGTTGGTTTACAAATTAAAGAAAAAAATGTCTTTTTTACATAATTTTCATTAATTGAGTGACATTTGAATAATCAAATCTTAGTTTCAATTTAAGTAGGATTGAGTATGATCCGGCCAAAGTAACGCATTAACTTGATTGGAATTTACAACCAGAATATCAGCCTAACTCCGATTGCAAAAAATCACTGAAAATTATCCGAAAAAAGCTTAACATAAATTGCTAGAATATAAACTATATAGTAAAAGCTTGTTTGCTCTCCATCCAATCAGGGGATTTGCATCTATACCCGCTTTTTTGGTCACGTTTTAACTTGTGCCTGCTTTATAAAAATAATTGCAAGCGTACCCACTTTTTCGCGTAACTTCAGCATACGGGGCTGAAGTAGCAAAGACAATCACGCAAAACTTCAGCATTCTAGTAGACGAGACTGAAGTAGCAAGTGTGTTGAACCAAGTGTGCTGAAGTTTTTGTTTGTAATTGCTGAACTTAAGTATAGTAGCTGAAGTTTTGTTCTCTATTTGCTGAAGTTTTTGTTTGTAATTGCTGATGTTTTTGTTTTTGTAACTGGCGAAGTTTTTGTTTTGTAACTGGCGAACTTCAGCTCTACAGCTGAAGTTTTTGTTTTTGTAACTGGCGAACTTCATCTCTAGAGCTGAAGTTTTTGTTTTGTAACTGGCGAACTTCAGCTCTACAGCTGAAGTTTTTGTTTTTGTAACTGGCGAACTTCATCTCTAGAGCTGAAGTTTTTGTTTTGTAACTGGCGAACTTCAGCTCTACAGCTGAAGTTTTTGTTTTTGTAACTGGCGAACTTCATCTCTAGAGCTGAAGTTTTTGTTTTGTAACTGGCGAACTTCAGCTCTACAGCTGAAGTTTTTGTTTGTAACCGGCGAACTTCAGCTCTTTTTGTTTGTAACTGAACAAATTAAAAGGGACTCTTCCACCATATTTGGGAACCACTCTTCCTAATTTGTACTACATAGCCATATCTGAAAATTCTTTTTCAGGACTACTTCCTATTTCATTATCAAATTTGTCAAATCTTGAGTATCTTTTGGTTGATAGCAACAGCCTTACATGTCAAGTTCCTAAGTTGGAGAAATTGTATAAGCTTAGTCATTTAAGCATATCCAACAACCTCCTGGGAAGCGGAGGATATGATGACCTAAGCTTCATCTCGTCCTTAACAAATGCCACTAATCTTGAAGAATTAGGTTTAGATGATAATAACTTTGGAGGGGTGATTCCTGAGTCAATGAAAAATCTCTCAACTTTGAATTCAAATTGAAGGCAGATATAATTTTGAGGAGGAGAAGAAATGAGGCTGAAGTTGTTTAAAAAATGGGTATAAATTAAAACTTTTTTAAAAAAAATGAGTATATGTTAAATGGGGGCGCAATTTTTACGTTCTAAACGACAAGAGTTGGGAATTCGTCACATATATTTACTAATTCAACGTTCAAACAATTCCGAATTGTAGTTATAGCTTACCTTAATTTCATGTATCGGCATTGTAAAAAATATTTACATATTAGATCACTTAAATTTCAATTGATAAATTATTAATCGATAATCTAATAAAATGATAATTAACCTGCTATTATAGTTAAATTATACGAATAGTGCGCTACATTATTGATGCATATAACTTAGATTGATAAATTTATATTCCATATATCTTTGCCTTTTACCTGAATAAAATTAAGCATAAAACAAATCAAGGAAGACATCTCAATGAATCTTTCTTTCTTCTCTCTCTTCTCTCACACAACGACCTAATTTATAAAGTCTTTTTCTCAAATTCTGCGCTTGGCGCACACGCGCCTCCTCCATGGGCAAGCCAGAGGAGCTTCCACCGGCGCGTCTAGATCATCAAAAGGAACCTCAAGCTGGGATTTTGAATCTCCAACAACTGAATGTCGCAGAATCAAGCTATGCCACGAAATTATCTTCTCCGAAACCCCAAAACAAAACCTCTATCAGTTATGGATGCCAAGATGTAAAAGCTAGAATCACTATTCACAATGGAATGCCGGCAGTAATTTTCAAAGCTAAGGACTATTATGGAGTTATGGCTGAAGAATGCAAGCTTACCGTTGTGGGCAAATTCCTGCGAACCCGACCAAAAATTGAGGTAATCCGAGCTGTGTTTATGGAAAATTTTTCTCTTAAAGGCACTGTTAAATTTGGTGCCTATGATAGGCGTAGTGTTTTCATAGACTTCTCTGATGAGCAAGATTGCAAAAATTTCTACTTTAGAAGGGCATTGAAAATTAATGGATTCCAGATGTGGCTTGAAATGTGGACTCCTGATTTTAGGCCAGACCATGATTCTCCTATTGTCCCAGTATGGTTTCTGCTACCTGAACTTCTCTTTCACTGCCATTCATGGCATTATGCTAAGCAGGTTTTGAAACCGGTGGGAAAACCTTTATCTATGGATGTGGCAACTTTTGGCAGAACTAGACCAAGTACAGCTAAGGTCAGAGTCGACATTGATCTCACAAAACCTCAGGAGACTAGTGTTTATGTAGGCCAAGAAGAGGAAACCAATCCTTTGAAAGGGTTTACTGAGAAGATTGAATATGAACACATTCCAAAATATTGCAAGCATTGTAAACTCATTGGACATTCTCTAGTCCAATGTAGAGCTGCAATTAAGAAGAAATCAGTAGAAGAAATAGAAGATAAGATTGAAGTTGAGCAGACTCAGGCGAGCAAACAATCTGAGGAGGAAATGGAGCAAACTAGCAATATGATTTCCAAAAGGAAGGTTAACCAGCCTGACAACAATACACAAGATGAGCTAAACAAGAAAAAATCGAAAGAAAGAGTGAAAAGGAAACAGAGAAGGCAAAGAACTGCCATTTCAAAAAAAATCAAGAAGAGGAAAAAACAGGTAAATGAGCATCTACAACATCAAGTTGAGGACATGGCTCTATTCTCCACAACTGAAGATAGAAAATCAAATGACAACTTTGACAAGCCAATAAGGAATGAGGTCCAGTAACAATCGGATGAAGGGATTGGGCAAGCTTCAGGAATTGATGCTACAAAGGCATCAACTGTTAAGTTTAATCCTGAAATGGGATCAATATTGAGAAAGACAACCTCTTTAAGGGAACCATCAACCTTGGCACCAATGTCCAGGGACCTCAATCCAAGAGGTTGATGATTACATGCCAGGAATCAAATGATCAACAAGTTGTTTGTGATCCTAAAGGATCGTCAATCAATATCCATAATTCCTTTCAGATTTTGGAGGAAGAACAAGAAGAACAGAACCAAGGCTCTAAGAGTGACACTAATCAGAAACAGTCTCAAGTTCTAGAGATTAACTCTGAAGGGATCAAGAAAGACATCATCACTAATACTCATGTACATCAAATCAACAAAGGAGGAGATCAAGAAACACAACAATCTAACAGCTTAAAAGAAGATGATGCTACAAATGAGCAATCATTCAATGCTTTCTCTTCACCTCTAGATCTGAATTTACATGATGTTGTCATCCAACAGGTTCAGGAAGTGATAGAAAAGGAAGATTTGCCTCCAAGAGGAGCTAAAATTTCAAACAAAAGCACCAAGAAATCTACTACTGCACCTAATACTAGAGGCAGAGGTAGAGGAACCAAAAATAATCTCTAATCCAGTTTTCCATGATTAATACAATCATTTGGAATATCAAGGGTGTTAATTCTAAGGGATCTTTCCAAAGATTTAAAAAGATTATCAAAAGGCACAAGGTTACCTTTATTGCTCTTCAGGAACCTTTTGTAGACAAAACAAAGTTGAACCACTACAGAAGAAAATTTAGCTTTCCAAATGCGATTGCAAATAGTAATGGGAAGATCTGGATTTTCTGGAATAATGATTATACCTGCAAAGTCATTAGCAACAAAAAACAACAGATTACTATGGAAGTCAATCATAGTATAATGCAGACTCCTTTCTGGATTACTGTTGTTTATGCAAAAACCAGTACAAGAAGAGGAAAGAGCCTTTGGAAATCTGTCAACGATATGAGTAATCATATCAATGGACCATGGTCTATTGGAGGTGACTTCAATGTAATTATGGACCCTAATGAGAAGAAAGGTGGCAGAATTCACAGACTTAGTAAAAGCATGGACTTTATCAGATGTATGGAAGATTGTGGTATGGCAGATGCTGGATATACAGGTATCAATTACACTTGGTCTAATGGAAGGAGGAGAGATAATAGGATTCTTTAGAGACTAGATAGCGTCTTCTATAACGATCAATGGTCAGCTCTCTTTCCAGTGGCTACGGTCAGACACTTGCCCAGAACAGGATCTGATCATAATGTGCTGCTCTATAAGTGCTCCAAGTCTGTTTCTTCTCCTATCAAATACTTTAGATTTTTAAATTTCTAGGTGGATCAACCTGATTTTGAACAAGTTGTTAACGAATGCTGGGAAACTCAAATACAAGGTAATGCTATGTATATTCTACATCAGAAACTCAAGAATCTCACGCATTGTCTTAGTAAATGGTCTAAAGAAAGTATTGACAATATTTTCGACAAGGCAGAAGAACTTGAGAAGAAGGTTGAGGATCTAGAGATTAAATATGAACAAGGTGACTGCGACAATAATAGGATCAATCTTAATTTAGCATATGCTCAACAAATTAAGTGGATGAATATTCAAGACTCTTTTCTGAAACAGAAAGCCAACATCAAATGGGAGGAATAAGGGGATAGCAACTCCAAATACTTTCATAGCATCATTAGACAGAAGAGGAAAAGATCTTATCTCCATAGAATTAAAGATGATCATGGTCAATGGATTCAAGGGAACGAGAAAATTGCAGAAGTTGCTATCTCTCACTTTAGCAAGCTGTTTTCACAACCTGACCAGAACAATGACATGGACTTCCTCAAAAGGATTGACAATGTTATCACTTGGGAAGACAATCAAGCTCTTATCCAGCTTCCTTCCGATGAGGATGTGAAAACTGCAGTCTTTGAGCTACATCCTGATAGTGTAGCTGGTCCGGATGGATTCAATGGCAAATTTTTCCAAGTTTGCTGGTATATTATTGCTGAGGATGTGTGTGTGCTATGGTTAAAGACTTCTTTGGTGGTAACACTCTTAACTAAATATTTTACTCATACTTGTCTAGTTCTTATTCCAAAAGTTGAATCTCCTTCTACATTTTCTCAACTTAGACCTATTAGTCTAAGTAATTTTTCCAATAAAATTATTTCAAAAATTATCTGCCATAGATTAACAGATTTGCTTCCTAGTATTATTTCTGAAAATCAAACTGGTTTTATCAAAGTAAGACTAATCACTGAAATTGTTCTCTTAACTCAAGAAATTGTCCAGGATATTAAACGCAAAAATAGAGGTGGAAATGTGATCATGAAACTAGATATGGCTATAGCTTATGACAAAGTTTCTTGGTTTTTTCCTACTTCTGTTATGAGGTGTATGGGATTTGCTGAACCTTTCATTGAAATGATTCATAGATTGCTCTCTAATGTTTGGTACTCTGTTCTTATTAATGGCACTAGATTTGGTTTTTCCCCCCTCTTCTAGAGGTCTTAAACAGGGAGACCCCCTTTCCCCTAGCCTATTTGTTATTGCAGCTGAGGCCCTGTCCAAAGCCCTTAATCAACTCCATAATAAGGGTAAGTATATTGGATATTCTATGAATAACAGAGGTCCAAGAATGAATCATCTGGCCTATGCAGACGTCTTAGTTATCTTCACTTCTGGAGATAAATACTCCATAAAGCAGGTAATGAAAACTTTAAGAAGATATGAGGAATCTTCAGGATAGGAGATCAATAAGGATAAAAGATTTTACTTGGCATCCAAGTATATTCGTGATAGTAGACATAATATGATTCAGAGGCTCACTGGTTATCGATATCAATCATTCCCTTTCAAGTATTTGGGTTGTCCAATCTATTCTTGAAGAAAGAAAATTTGCTATTATACAGATATTGTCGGGAATGTTATGAATAAGATAGGAGGTTGGCAAGGTCATGTACTATCCCCTGGTGGAAGAGCTATTCTCATTAAACATGTGCTTCAATCTCAAACTCTTCATATTCTTGCAGTTGTTACCCCTCCCAAGACAATTCTCAAACAATTGGAGAGTTACTTCTCCAATTTCTTTTGGGGCAAATCTGAAAACAAGAACAAATACTACTGGAGCTCTTGGAAGAATCTTTGTTATCCTACTGATGAAGGTGGTGTGGGTTTTAAAAGTTTAACTAACTTATGTAAGACTTTTTCTGCCAAAAGATGGTGGAGGTTCAGAGTTGCAAACAACCTTAGGGCCAAATTCATGAGAGCTAAAAATTCCCCGAGAAGCCACCCTGTTGCAAAGGCCTTGGAACCTAAACATTCTGCTGCATGGAAGGAAATGATACAAATCAGAAAAGATTTTAACCTTCAATGATGGTGATAGCTCCTTTTGGTGGGATAATTGGACAGGACCACTTGGTGCTTATGTCAATGGTAACAGAAAACCTGGAAATGTGAGGATCAGGGATTGTATCAAGGATGAGACATGGGATGTAAATACTATATCTAGGCTGGTTCCTAATAATATGTTGAATCATATTATTCATATCCCTATTGGCAATAGACAGATTAATGACACCCCTGTTTGGACTGAGACTTCTAATAGGTCCTTTACTTGTTCCTCTGCTTTTAACTGCATTAGGAAAAGAAGGGATATGGATAATATTTGGAAAGATGTGTGGAAGAAGAATGTCCAATTTAAAATGTCTTTCTTTCTTTGGAGAGCTATTAAGGGTAAACTACCTGTGGATGAAACCTTAAAGAGATTTGGTCATAATATAATTTCCAGATGTTCTTGTTGCCTACATCCCAAGAAAGAAACTATATCTCATATTCTCTTTAATAGTGATAGTGCTTTTCTAACTTGGAATTTCTTTGCAGATCCTCTTGGAATTAAAGTAGGATGCCAATCAATTGCATATTACTTTAAAAGAATGGAGGAACCTCAGAATAAGAATGATGTCCAAAGAGACCTATGTCGAGTAGTTCCTATCTTTATCTGTTGGGATCTATGGAAACATAGATGCTCTATCAGGTATGGAAACATAAATCCTACGATTGCAAAGCTAAGACAGTCTATTTTGTTTCGTGTGAAGGTATACATGAAGAAGAGAGGAGCTATTGTGGACATGAAATGGCAATGGCATCAAATTTGCACTTACATGGAAGACTATAGACCAAGAATCACGAGCACTCCAGTTATATAGAATAAACCTCCAGAAGGTTTGGTAAAAATAAACACTGATGGAAGCAGTAATATTACAAAGAGAACTGCAGGAATTGGAGGGGTGGTTAGGAACAGAAATGGAGATTTGATCATGGCATTTGCCAAAGCTTTTCATTTCTGCACTAACAACCAAACTGAAGTTCAGGCAGCATTGTATGCTCTTAATTGGTGCAGGCAAAATAATATGACCAATTGCATTTTAGAGATGGATTCCCTTATGACTATCAATATGATGAAGGGAGTTTATAAACCTTTCTGGATACATGACTCAAATAGCACACGATTTGAACATAAAAGTCCAGCATTGCTATAGAGAGGGAAATGAAACCGCTGATGCTTTAGCCAAATTTGGAGCCAACTCGCAAATGTCTATAGAGGCAAGAATTTTCTCTCAGGTGTGTGAATTAGTAGCTGAAGCAAGGGGAGCTTACTGTATGGATAGAGCACAATTCCCATGTTTTAGAATTAGACTTAGGAGGTACGGTACAAACTCTCATGGTGATTATGTACTATGCAATTAGCCCCGTATTTTTATATATTTTCTATCATTGTGGAACGGGAAATAACCCCTCACAAATTCTCGGTAATCACCACTCATGTACCCCTCCTCATAGGAGCTTTTGTGTAATTAGTAGATCTCTAAATAGGCCTAATTCGGACTATGATCCAAAGGAGATAAGGCACTATGTCACTCTCCTCCATGTATTCACTTTTTGACTTTTGGTAATACACAGGTAAAGGGTCATGCCTCAACCCCTCTATGGTGACATTCAAAAAAAAAAACCTGAATAAAAGAGTAGAATCGAACCATAACCTTCACTTCAGAGCAAAAGCAGCTGCCTCAATTCATGTATTATTGCTATCTTCTTTTCCATACACTGCCATCTTATACGACTTTCTCTTATGAAGAAAAGATTTCTTCAAAAAATTATGTCCATATTAAACAAAAGTCAGAGGAAAAAAGTAAAACAAATAAATAAATAAATAAAAAGAACCCCAAGAAAAGATGCTTCAACAAAGTTGCAATTCATCTAGGAATTGTTTTGGATTTATTTGGGAATTTCAATTGTAGCTTTATATGATAAGTAGCTTCCAAATTATCAGAATGTTCCCTTTCTGTTTGTGCAAAAACAGCTAGGCCACGAGCAAAGGCAAAATAGCCAGTACCACCAACAACAGTCAACTCTTCCTTATTATCATTTGTCAAACTCTTAGCTTCAACACTTAGACTTCCACTGAATTCATTGTTATTAAACGTAAGATAAATAATATTAAACGCTGAATTCGCGAAATCTTGAATTGGGATGATAAAACCTTGCGCTTTTCCAACTACTCGAGAGGTGTTTTCCGGCCCCTCAGTGAGAAGGCGATGGAAAATCAAAGCGCCAACGTCTGTTGGGGCTTTTTTAGGGGAGAAATTGGAAGTCGAGACTTGAGGTTGTTGAATATAAAGAGATAAATCAACCCAAGGAGAATTTTTTGATTTATTTTCGTGGGGTACTGGTGAGAATATTGCAATGAGAATGACTGAAAGTGTAGCTAGAAGAACTGCAGTGCAAAAAATTATTCTTCCTATCATGATTATATCAAATGGTTAGAATGAATGGTGAGATTGTAGTCTATAAAAGAAATGAAGTTGATTTGAGGAATAGGACTTTGATGTATGATTATTTTGGAGAGGTTGCTTTTAATGCAGTTTCATTTTAGGGGGTTTTGTTAAACTTCTATTAAAGGTTTTGGTTACTTAACCCACCATTTATTTTTTCACCTAAACCATATTGAATATATGAGGTTCTTGTGCATAATGGAATTTACAGCTAGAAAATTAATCATGTCTTGCTTGTTAAATGGAAGCCTGTGGTTTTTAATTTTTCACTTAAACACTTTCTTTTCACATTGTTAGCATCATAATTAGGATTACATGGATCGAGTTGGTTCAGTTTTTATTATAATCAAACCAAATCAATTATATCGGTTTGGATTGGTTCGGTTTTGTCGTCTTTTTCGAAATTTTTTTTACTTAAATTTATTTCAATCTTACTTTGTTAAATTTTTGATAAGTAAATATATAAAATAAAAAAAGGGCATCCCGGTGCACTAAGCTCCCGCTATATGCGGGATCCGGAAAAGGGCCGGACCACAAGGGTCTATCGTATGCAGCCTTACCCTGCATTTTTGCAAAAGGCTGTTTCCACGGCTCGAACCTGTAACCTCCTGGTCACATATATTGATAAGTAAATATATGTTTAGTAAAAATTTAAAAAATTGACAAACATATTATCTATTAAAGTATTCTTATGAGAGAATTTACTTAGTAACACGTGATAGTTACTTTTTTAGTCGTCTGACAATAATTTTTCGTTGATGTACACTTTTATTGTTAATCGAATTTAGTAATTAAATATAAAAATCAATATGATACCTAAATAATAATATCCACTTCAAATTCGAAAAAGATATAAGAATTTAATAGATCTTGACATATGAATATCGAAGAACACAGTGATTGGCGCATTTCAATAACACCTGATAAGAAAGTGATCATACAACTCATTATTTAAGGTTAATAAATATGGAGCACTTCATATTCTATTAAATATTACGTCACGTAAGAGAATCTCAAATATTTTTAGGCATTTTAAAAGAAAATTTTATATAAAATCTTAAAATTATATATAAAAATCATATATTAATATGTTGCTTTGGTTCGAATTTTTGTACTAAATACCAAACTAAATCTAATCAGATTTTTTTAACCGATTTGGTGCGTTTTTCCAGTTGGCTTTGTACACCCCTAATGATAATAATGAAGGTGTGATACTATAATTCAAATTATGTCCTTTTGATCATCAAGCTATCAATTGTTATGGTAAAGTATCATTTGGACAGAGGCGGAGCTTTGAATTGAGTTTATAAATTCTAAATTGCAGAAAAGACAGCTTATTGGGTTATGGTTAAATTATTATTATTATTATTATTATTATTATTATTATTATTTTTTTTTTTTTAATAAAAATATAGAATCTGAACCAAAGCTATATCTTGCCGAGCTCGTAAGTTGTACTCTAGCTCCACTCCAAGTAAAAGATCCAAAAGCCAAACTTAGTCACAACCTAATAATCAAAAACAAATTTTTAGAAGATGAAATATGGGTTGCATCATGATTCAACCAAGTAGGTGTAGTGGGTATAGCATGAGCAAATATAACATTGATTAGCATTCTACATGCATATGGGGGCAACTTCTTAATTACAAAAGAACAACTCACACAAATTTACCATTATTTATTCATCTTTGAAAGCATGCATGATTCATTTCGTCCATTGTGTCACATGAGTGCCTCTAAGACTGTTGCACATGTAATCAAGTGAAGGTGATGACATTTTATTTCATTTTCTTCATAGGACCAAGTCACTTTCTTGGTCCCTGTGAGAGAAGAAATTGTACATAGTAACAAAAGAAAAAAGACACTATGATTTTCTCCCTCGTGAAACTCTATTTTCAACTAGCAATTACAATGCGACACATCACAGAATTTAAAATTGACATATGATAACTATGGTTGCAACCAAGCTCCATGTGGAGTATATATATATATATATATATATCGAAATAAAGAGAAGATTTCCTAACAATCTCGTAGCATTTCAAAAATGAGTACAAACGTCTTCGTACCGATCCGTAAGATTTTACTAGATGTGCTCATGACTAAAGTAAGTCATTTTGTTCACTGAGTTTTTGGACAGAAGGTATACCTGGGGACGGGGTTAAACCCCAAACTCATAAGTAAAATTATTGAATATCTTTAAAGCTAACGTAGATTGTGATCATGATAGATCTTAGGCTATTATATGTCTTGTTTTGCTATCATGCTTCTTTGATATCATGTTTTCTTCACTTGTATGACTACGTGAGCTATTATTCATGCTAGAAATCATGTCTAGGCTATATACTTACCCGTTGAGATAAGTTCTAAACGTTAAAACGAATCTAATCCAAGTCCCGGAACAATCCGAACCTGATATAGTCAACCCATGATCAAACCTATGAACTTTCTAAACTTTCAAATTGTCAACTTTCGACATTTCTTTCCTTTCCTAAATCGACCCATAGTAGGTAGTGATAGGAGAGATTCATTATGGCGGGATGGACCATTCTCGAATGCTTTCAGTAAAATTTTCAGTAAATAATCTTAAGCTTAATAAAATAGACACATATGTAATAAAGAAGAAAAATACTAAACTGTTCACGCTCAGTAATAAAAGACGTTTTTAGGCATCAAGTATTTGCTACTGCATTCAAATCAATATTGGATCACTTAAATTCACGCTGCGTAGTCCTCCTAAGGAGATAAACCGCTCTTTATCAAGAAAATTTTTATTTTTAAAACTCGAATTTGATACCTTTGGTTAAGAGAATTTTAGTCATCGCACCTTTGTGTTTTATGATCGCACCTACTACTCAGTGGTACTATGCTTCATTACTTAAAATTTTAAATGGTCCACTACCTACAATTACTCGGATAGTCTATATATACATGTGACTGGTCATTTAGTACATACATTGTTCAACAAAAAAGGAAGGTACCATGAGTACAACAAACTATCTAAAATTGCTACTCCTACTCCAAAATTTATTCTCATTAGCTTGCCTAATAACCAGCCAACCTGCAGCCCCATCAACAACACCAACCACAACACCAGTGCTAGACATTGATGGCCATGAGCTCCAAATTGGCTCAAAATACACAATTTTACCTAGTCAAAATGGAACTGGTGGAGGTGGACTAGCACTAGCAGCTAAAGACAGGCCATGTCCTTTTTATGTCATGCAAGAAAATCTTGAATCCTCTAATGGCCTTCCAACAAGATTCATGACGGTTGACAATAAACAAAATGTCATAAATCTTTCTACTGATTTAAACATTGTGTTTTTTGCTGCCACCATTTGTGTGCAGTCCACGGCGTGGAAGCTCGGTGGCGCGGACGAGATAACCGGCCGGAGGTATGTCATGAGTGGTGGCATGACTGGCCGGCCGGGGCTGGAGACAGTGAGCAATTGGTTTAGAATAGAGAGGATTGCGAATGGGAGTAGTATTAATAATGGGTATTATAAGATTGTGTTCTGTCCTGGGGTTTGTAATAATTGTAAGGTAGTGTGTGGGAATGTTGGTGTTTTTAATGAGAATGGGAAGAGATGGCTTGGGTTGAATGATGAACCACTTGTTGTTAGGTTCAAGAAAGTTCTGAATTAGTATGAAGAATTGAACTTATCATTTTTCTTCTTCTTATTTCTTTTGGTTATAGCTCAAAACAATATGTTGAAATAGTAGATTTAGTAGTCCGCTTTTTGCATGAAATACCTCCTCCTTGAATCTGCAGGTCCATGCTCTAAACAATGTTTAAGCTTTTCATGAAAGGAACTAAGCATACTTAATGAATGTAGTTTACTAGATTTATGGTATCAAATTTTGCTACCTGTTAAAGGAAATTTCTTGTGAGATTGGAGATATCCCAACACTAGAAATCAGTGAAATGCATTCTTTGAACCTTTAGCTGAGATCTCTGCTAGAATAATCCACGGCCAGCAAGAAAGTCTCAGAAACAATAGCCTAGAAGTTCACATCGATCAAACTAGATATTAAGGAATGTTAACAATTTATATTGCGGTTGATTTTAGTTCTTAGTTAGATGATCTTGCTGCTGAAGTTTGTAGCAACAATTAGTACTATGCCTTTTGAATTACTAGTTCTGATTGTGCTCTATCCTTGGAACCGTGGTGATAGTACGGTAGTGTTTCGCAATAAAACTAGGAGAGTGAGAATTTACCTGTTGAGGCATTATAAAACAGTTGGCTAGGATTGTAAAATAAAACCAGGAGAGTGAGCATTGACCTGTTGAGGCATAGGCCAATGCTAAAATGAGTACGAGCTTTGATGTACAGAAGTTACATTTTAAATCTCATACCTAAAGGTATCGGTTGGCTTTGCCATTGCCAAACTCCCTTTCTCAGTTGATATTCAGTCTTACAGATTCCTTCAACATTTGAGTTGAAACATAGATCACAAATTCTCTTTCAGCTAAACCATTGTTTATCAATACTTTGGGGTACAGGGTGCTGCTGAGTACAAGAATGACTCTAAGCCCTAACTACTTGCTTGTTTCCTGGTGAGGACAGTAGACATAAAGTGTACTTTTGGTATTTTTACTAGGACAACATGATGAAGTAAGCATCACTTGATCAAACTTCAAAAGAATATCCTGATGTTATTACCCACGACTTTGAGAAGAGACCAAGAAAAAGTTTCAGCAAAAGAATGGGAAGATATACTGATTTACTCCAAAATATGTGACTGAGATGCTGGTCCATCTTCGTATCATATGTACCTCACCAACCATTCCAAGCTCTGTCATGTATGAAACATTCCATTAGGGAACTTCTTTGATAAGGTAAAAGCAGTAACCTCATTAAACTAGTAATATCACAACTTTGATTATACAAAAATTTAAAAAAGGAGTGACCTAAGTGTTGTTTTAGTTGTTTTCAGTCTCTCTACGTGTGTTTCTGCGGAGAAACAAAAGATGAGCTAAATATTGGAAGTTAGGGATATAGTACCTTTATGCATTCAGGTAAATCGTCGTCTTTCATTTTGGCATGAGTCTGCAAATGAAGAGATGAAAAAGCATGTGAATTAGAGTTCAAATGCACTTTCCGTCATGACTCCACACTAAAAGAAAACACTCGAGCTGATTTCGTATTTGAAGTCGTATTTTCAAGTAGAGAAGAAAGTTACAGACACATTTTACTTGGATTAATAAATATGTCGTTCAGAAATTACCTTTGTGACCAAATAGCAGGAGGCATAAAGATTTGCAGCTGATGAAGCGAGAAACACCAGTGAGGAAGCTACAGTTGATGGTCTGTAGCACAAGTGATCATGACTGAGCAAAGCTAGTACTGCCAGGTATTTCGCAGTCCTTTCCACACGTTCGCCAGCTCTAGCAGCTTTAAGGTAGAACCTGTGCCATTGTGACCAAAGCCGTATAAATTAGATGGCATAGCTCTTTTTAGTGAAGGCAAAATCATCAAATTTCAGATCTTGAGCAATTGTACAGCAATGGTTAATCTTTGTACCATAAGAAGTTGTATATTGTGGGAAGCAAGCACTGGAAGTTGAGGACCTCCTGCACCAGCCACTCCATAGCCACCACTTCACAACAGCTATATGCAGTGTCTGCAACAACGAATGTCTTCTGGCGAATGCTGAAATGAAAGTAATGAACTTGTCAACTAAATATGTAACCTTTTTTTTTGCAAATGAGACCTAAGACATATTAGTATGCTTTTATAATGATATGAAAGACCAAGACTCTTAAATTGTTTAATGTGCTCAGTCTCATCATTTTGAGCTTTTCTTTGGAAATTTTAACTATATTTCCCAGTAACTAACATCAGAAAAAATGAATGCAAGGTGATCTGCAATGAGGTTCCTCAGATTCTACAATTGATTTCAAGCTCTGGTTATATGCACTTTCTATAGCCATTTCATCCTGATACTCTAGTGGCTCTCAAGTGAACAAGCCCGGATATAACATCAGAGCAAGAAATATTACCTGTTGTAAGGCTGGTTTTCTTCGATCCTCACTGCCAGAGTAAGGCACGCTATGCCAGCAATTTGAAGGCATTTTTTGGTTTTGAAGTACCCTTTGCTTAGGAGTCTGTCAAAGAGATTGACACTTAAGAACATTGTTTCCTTCTGAAGGTCCTTCCTCGTTGCTTGCTGTAAAAGATGTAATGTCTAACATTAGACAGCAAGAGGAACTGCCATAACACTAGTTGAATTAGTCTGTATTTGTAAATTCCCAAGCATAGGCTGTTAATACAAATTTTATTTCCTTGTATACCAACTACCAAGGCTCTCAATCAGGGGTTTTAGCATCCGTCAATATTATTAAAAGGTATATTTTCGATTGCAACTTTTTGCAGATTCAAAAAATATACTTATATATAAGAATTCTGAGATGCCAATGAATGGTTTCGCCCAATTCACCATCTAAAGTATTGTAAAATTTCTAATCAACATAGTACCAAGTAACAACAATTTAGTGGAGGACTACTCCCACCACCATTGGGTTTAACACGTAAACCTCAGATTTTTATTTATTGAAATTATGCATGCTATAATCTTACTAATTGAGGGTCATTTTTTACTTGAAGATTCTATCAATGACCATCTCATTTGACCTTTGACTTTGAGGTAAGGGGAATTCTCTATCCCAATCAAAATGAGAGAGGTATTATTTTCTTTACATAAAAAGTTAATTCGGTGTTTAAGTAGGATTTACTGTTTCCTTTTTGCTATAATTAATTTCCCAATGAGTTAATCTATGAATAAAAAGCAAAACAAGAGATTTTATAGTACATACTTTACTTCAATTTATACGACATCCTTTTCATTTTCGACATTTCCAAAGTGTATAACCGATCTACTCAACTTTCAAAAATTTCATGAATTTAAGTTTTAACATGATGTCTTCACTATCAAACTAACTATTCAGCAAATATAATTTTTTTCTATACCACTAGTATGAAATAATACGCAATGACTAACATCTTGAACGTTGTATTTAGTCAAACACACTTGTGTAGTTGTGCTATATCATAGTTCATGGATCATTTTTTACTAACAGTTACTTCTATTTCAGAAAAAAAGGTAAATGTAGGGGTATATAAGCGCACTCAAACTGCCATGAATTACATGCATCACGCAATATGGACATCAAGTAACGTTATAAGCTCACGTGCAAACTGGATTCTGTTTCTCTTATTAGTTATTACCAGTAGTAGAAAAATATAACTTCCACATGCACTATAACGGAAACATTCCATGTCACACAGAGTTTATGTGATTTGATCAACTAGAAAGGAATGTGGAGAATAGCACGTTCATCGCTAAACGTAACTTACCGCAAGGATCCAATGAACCATCTGCAACCGCTGCTGTACGATTAATTCGCCGTGGTCCGTTGTAGAACAGTACTCCTCGGCGTAATCGTGTAGATACAATTGCCTCCTCTCTCGCTTCCTTATCATCAAATAACTCTCTTCATCCTCTTCGTCCCATCCCTCCTTCATACATAAAGGAAAATTCATAATTATTTTAAATCTAACAAAATTAGTTACAATATCAAAACTAGATAAAAGCCTGAATTTCAACAACAATTTTAACTACGTTCTATATCAATTATCAGTATCTACTGTGATTTGTGATATATTTCCTTTGATTCCATTATTCGGTATTTGTAATTTTAGCACAAAGTTCATAAATTTCAAATTCGATGAGCTTAGAGAGAGACTAAATAAACAGAATCATAATGATTTTAAGGTTAACGAATACGTATGCAATATTAAAACTAAAATAACACGTGAATTTCAACAACCACAAAAAACAAAAGTTACATGTCGATCTCAAACTAGTTGAATCCGCTATTTAAATTCTTTACATGAATTTCAAATTCGATGAATTTATAGAGAGATTAGATTTTGTGAAATTTAAATTATCAGTACAAAGGAAGAAGATTTGTAGAATTTCAAAATCAATGAATAAACAGAATCATAATGATATAAAGGTGAACAAAATTAATATACAATATCAAAACTACACATAAAGCCTGAACTTCAACGATTATAACGACGTTCTATCTAAATTCTCTATCTCTATTATGATACATATTCATATTCGATGAAGTTAGAGAGAGATTAAAATTTGTGAAATGTAAATTATCAGTACAAATGAAGAAGTTGAGATTTTATAAAACTTACGGTGAATTCAGTAGAAATGTGATCGTCTGAGGAGTTTATGGAAGGAGACTGCAAAGCGACGGTTGATCTGAAAAACTGTTGACTGAACTGAAGAAACAACGTGAAAGTATGTGACGGAGTAGCATCTGCGTTCGATTTCTCAGAAAATTGGCTTCCAGAGTCGTCGTACCATAGACTATAATCGGAGAGATCTATATCGGAACTCTCAGGGAAAATCTCCGACTGGAGTTCTGAGTAAGTTGATGAATAGTCATCAGAAACATCAGTCATTGAGAAATTTTCAGAACATTCTAGATCAAATTCTGCTTCAACGAGCTTCTCATGTGCTTGTTCTTCAGCAGATAGTTCTACTTCTTCAAATTCCGCTGCTCTGCTTTCTCTACATTTGATTGTTTGAACTGATGAATTTGCACATTTCGACTCAGAAGGCGATTGTAGCACAGAATTGAATGAAACAACATCTTCCGC